TATTAAAAATGAGTGTAAGGACTCAGGAGTTCGCGCGAGGAGCTGGCTGCGCAAATCACTCACATCCGGGGTCACTTTTCCTCCGTCTTCAGTCATGATACCCCACGATCCAAATTCGTCATCACGCCCAGCACCAAAGAAATGTGTGACACCCAGGGACAGGCCAGCCACTTTACCGTGTCGCATGAGTCGCCGCGTGATATCGGAAAGCTCAGGCGTAATGACAACATCAGGACCTGGCCTTCCAAACTTAGCCGTGGCAAGGCGACAGGCAGGATCAGCAGCTCGCTCAATCCAGTACAAAGCTGCGCGTGAGCCCAGGTCCCATCGGACAGTCGCCCTCAAAACACCGTAACCGATGATCAGCATGAGCAGGCATATGGGCGTCGCGAGCGTGTAGCGCCTCCTCTGAGCATCGCCAGAATGAGGAAGATCCCGGTATATCTACGCAAGGACAAGATCAGACGTAGTCACTTGATAGGTAGAGGAAGATTTGACCATGTTCGTCTCTCCCAGCAGGGTCCGCAGATGATGGGGCGATAGAGAAGCGATTGCTTGAGAGTCCGGCACCAAGCGGTCATAGTACGACTGCCGGGCAGTGCATGCGCAGACTCTAGAGGCGCTGTCCGTGGCAAACCAAGCTGCCAACTTAATCAAGGCCTAGTCCGCATATACCCGATCAGACTACCACGCAGTCGACTTTGCAAGCTCATGAGTTGCCATGAGAAGTAGACTCAGGATATTCAGCCCGGTACGTAAGTCTAGACTGTCTAGAGCTTGACGATAGGGGGAGCTGGCAGGTTTCCGAGATAGCGTTCATGGGCCATGGCCCGTATTAATATTATGTCGAAGTCAGGATTTGCACGAGTATGCAAAACGGAATGAGAATTGATGCCAGTTATGCAACTCCGAGAGCCTACATGATTCTTGCAGTCGAATGAACACAGCGAGTAGCGTAGCTAGTGGGCAGTTGCAAATGGTGCAGCTGGCAGGCAGCTGGCACATATGGTGGATACGAGACTTTTCGGCGTTCGCCGAATGGGCTTGGACCCATAGTGTACTGTGCAGGCGCTTGATCGCTGTTTCCTGCTCTCAGTCTCGACTCCCAACTACCTAGACCCGATGATTTCGAAACCTTGCTGCTGGTTCAAGAGGCCGCCACGGCTTCGTTTATGTATGGAGTGCACTCGAATTTATGTGTGGATTGATGCTGATGTTACGACGCAGCAGGGGATTCATCAGACTCAGCGGAGACATATGTCTCGTTGCGGTCTTGCTGGGACACTGGCCACGACAGTGACCGCACAGAGAATTCTCATCAAAGTGTTGTATATTGTATTTGAGTATTTGACCTGGTTTCCCTTTCTCGAGAATCAGCAACCTATGGGGCAGCGATAAGCGTCCCTCTCGACAGGTTATGCGCCTGTAATTGTTTCGACGCTGCACTCTGTTTCAAGACGCGCGTTGTATTCATCACTACTTTTCTATGCTTCTCCGCAGATCCTCGCACATAGGAAGACCCCACACATATAATACGACAGGAAGCTACGTCATCGAGAAACATCTTGAAGCCTCCTTGCAAACGGTATATCTCCTAATCGCTCGCATCGCATGTCGGCAGGAGCCCACAATGGCGGATATGCATGGACCTCATAGATCCGGTCAAATGTACCAATGTAAGCCTCTTCCGACTGACATACTCTCTTCAGGGCAATCAGGATTGACGGCTCATTCAAGCGGTTGCCGACACTATCTCCGCCTATCCACCCTTCTCGTGAAGACAGTGGCCTGCTCTCGACCTGGAACTGTCGGATACGTAACGGAGGATCAGTACCACCGTTACGGATTGTGATTTCCGCAGAGGAGCTGCTGTCGGTTCACTGTGGGCCAGGACCGGCCATATCTGTCTTCGAGTAACTCAGGTTTCAACGCCGAGCTCGGTGGCAGATGTCGTCACATGCGAAACCCTTTGCCGAACGGTCCTCTGATTAGGACGGCGCTCGAATGGCATTTATCCTCCTAAATTGCGAGTATCTGGAATGGTCGATGAGTCACCGCGAATACAGTATCGACACGCCCACATTCAAGCTCAGTGCCCAGCTCGAGTCGCTGAGGCGAGCCACGGGTAGTGTCTTCGGTTCTCCCGTTACCATCGGGTCTTCGCGGTCAATACAAGCTCGCCAGCGCCCGTGAAGACGCCCGTGCGTGCAGTTGGGCGGGCTCTGAGATACAGTAACTCAGCTGGTAGCTTTCCCCGAATTGCCGCTCACTAAATTCGTTGCTATGAGCCCCGCTATTACTGAGCTTGAAGGTCAGCATCTGCAGGAATTCTATAAGTAGTCCGTTGACACGTTGACTCCCCACCCTCCCAGACGACCTGTGCGGTGTATCGCAATGGCCTTTCACTCCTCCTTGGCCATCAATGCCGCCATATTGACGGCGTTTGTCCTCGCTGTAGTTGTTGTTCGCGCGGCATACCATCGTAATGTCCGTGATGGCAAGCTGCGCTATCCGCCAGGCCCGCCGCCCGTGCTCGTGCTTGGAAATGTTCATCAGCTCCCAGTCGACTACCAGCACCGAAAGCTCGCCGAGTGGGGCACAATCTACGGTAGATCCTAACCTAAGTCATGCCAATGCTTACTGATTTCGATGGCCAGGCGACGTCGTCTTCGCGCGTTTTTTCCGCACTCCTGCAGTGGTGTTGAATTCACGGGAGGCTGCAATCGACCTCCTAGAGAAGCGCAGCGCAAAGTATTCCGACAGACCACGGTTCATTCTGTTGTCGGAACTGTGAGTCTCGTCAAGCTCCGACCCAATATACGTATCGCTGATATTCTCCGTCAGCATGGGATGGGACAGCGTGCTAAACAACCTGCCATACGGCGAACGCTTCCGGAAGCACCGGAAATGGCTCCAGGATGCGTTCGTATCCAAGCAGATGCTGGCAACCTACCGCCCGATCCAACGCCGTGAGACGTATACGCTTCTGTCTGGACTGTGCGAGACCCCGCAGCTCTTCATGGATCACATAAAGCGGTACGTAAGATACCCGCAGTCCAGTCTGAAACCTTCGGCGCTGATGCACGCGCAGATGGGCGGCGGCTACGATCATGGAGATTGCATACGGTCACCGCGTCACATCTATCGAAGACAAGTACATTGAGCTTGCCGAGCGTGCCACGGTTGAGACTGTGAAAGCGGGCAGTCCGGGCTCGATGCTTGTAGACTTCTTTCCGATCCGTGAGTTCTCATAATATGACCTCGACGCTAGTAGGCGCTGACTATGCGCCCAGTGAAGGGCATTCCGTTGTGGGCGCCGGGGTCTGGGTTTAAACACCGCGCCTACTACGTCCGAGGTCTCATTCGGAAGACGTTGGACACACCGTTCGAGATGGTCAAGCGTGCTCTAGTAAGTTCAACAAAAGCGACTTCAGTGCGTCATCTAAGACAGAAGGATAGCTTTCAGGGACAGCGGCACCATCATTCACCGCTAATTTGCTCGAAGAGGCTGTCGCCGCGGGCAGCTTGACTGCGGAGCACGAAACCGACATCAAGGGAGCTGCTGGAGTAATCTATGCGGGTGCGTAACTCCTCGGAACATATGTAACTATCGACTCACGCGATGTGTAGCCGGAACGGATACGGTGAGGGCTACAAGCAGATGATGGCCCGTTTCCGACTAATGGGGTCATCCAGACTGTCACGGCGATGAAGAGCTTTATCCTGGCTATGGTTCTACACCCGGCGGTGTACAAGAAGGCACAGGCTGAAATCGACCGCGTGGTCGGTTCCGATCGTCTGCCTGACTGGGAAGACATGGACAGTCTTCCATATCTGGATGCTGTCCTGAAGGAAGTCTTCAGGTATGGCACGCGGTTGCGGGTTATGTACGTAGCGCTGAAGTTATTCCTGACAGATGGAATCCACCGGTGCCTCTTGGTGACTTATACGACGTTCGATATGTTCTTCGCGCACGATTGCTGACCTCAACACCAGGAGTACCCCATAGTGCTCAATCGGACGATGTATACCGCGGCTGCCATATCCCTAAGGGCGCTATGATGATCCCGAACATTTGGTAAGCGTGAGAACATATACACCTAACTTCCAACTTAGTAGTACTCAACGTTGCCCAAGGTGGATGACCCATGACCCCGACGAATTTCCTGAGCCGAACAAGTTCGACCCCGAGCGATTCCTCAGCATGTCTCCGGAGGAGGCAGATAGGAAGGATCCTCGTAAAGTTGTCTTCGGGTTCGGACGCCGGTACGACTCATGCTTCTGAGTTGTAAGCTGGCATGAGCTAATACATGTCCTCTAGCATTTGCCCGGGCCAGGCGTTTGCGGAGGCCGGCGTTTGGCTGGCGGCAGCCAACATCATCGCAACTATGGACCTCACGTACGCCAAAGATAAGATGGGCCGGGACATCGTCCCGGAGGCCGCTTTCATCTCGGGCTTTGTGAGGTGAGAAATGGGCCCTCGTTCAGCCCGGCCTGGCACAGCTGACACGCAGACACACAACATAGCCACCCGCAGGACTTTGCGTGCGCCTTCCGCCCTCGGTCCGAGCGCATACGCGAGCTCATCTCGAGCATGAACTCCGACGCTGCCGACACTGTACCCGCTCAGGCTTGATCTCGACCACCTGGTCCATTACTTACCCTCGCTCACGCTCTCTACCTTCTTGGGCAACAAGATCTTCGGACCGTATCTCGTGATAGTATTCTGACAGCTTCCTGCACCGACGACAGCCGGCGTGCATTGATGTTAGGTTGTGTATAACTGTCGGTGGCAGTTTGGTTTCTCCGCCAACATTCGGAACGTGCTATCGACGTGCAGGGGAGTAAGCCTACTTTCACAAGATACTGTACCATATCATGCTCTTCTTTTTCTTGCCCATGTATCGATATACTACCTACTCCATATGTTCGGTGTCTTTAGGACTCTGTCAGGAGTGATCCAAATTTTCATAGAACAGATTGATGGGCGAGCCAGCATCACACTGATGGTGAAACGGTATCATGCTTGCCTTCCACCTGTTCGGTAGCAAGCGGCGCGGGTTCGACTCCCGCTCAGTGTACTTCGTCAATGGACAAGTTGCTTTTTGCCCATGCATTAGTCATGGGCTCGTAGTAGTTACATACCAACGAGCTTACATGGATACGGTTGGAAGATCTGTTGCGACAGGTTCAACTTGCATTCTTCGCTTTTGATACCTTAGAACGCCGCTGACCCACCGGGTTCTCAGAGACGCGGAGGATATGTATGCAGTGTGCACAGTTCTTGCAGAATCTCGGAAAGAGGGATATACAACGTCTCAGGCTGTATACGCAGCCAGTCGGCACACACTCAGACAGCATTCCGATACGTCAAACTAATTCTTACCTACTGATTCAGTGCTGTGGGGCGGGGGGGAGGACGTGTGGGATACGCGGGCAACATGGGAAGGAGAAGATACCACCTCGACTTCCATGCTGTAAGAAGCGGTTCGGCCGTATTTCTCAAGGAGCCTCGTGCATCCCACGGAGTTGTCCTGCCGCGTGCCCTCGACTAGCCGTGTAATCAGTCCCTCTGACATCCTCCTCCTGAACGACGTATCGAGCACCGTAGTGCGCTACGTTCATGGCTACTCGTTGTCCGGATGCTCGCCTTCCTCGGCCACCGCGGCCAAAAGCCCACAGAGTTCTTTCAAACTTACTCGGTCCGTTTTCCCTCCCGGCCCTTCCTGTTAGAATATCACCTTGTAATGCGTGACGTGACACTGCCCAGACGAGGTCCAAGCCGAAGGAGCGACGCACGACCAAGAACGCGAGCTCCGAAGGCACTGCCACGCGTTCGTCGGGACGTGGCAAGGCGACGAAGAGCGGCGACGACGACGTGGAGAGGTAGGCGGGCGATGAGGGCGCGACGATCGAGAAGGGGCGGCGCACTGTCACTGTCACGAAAGACCTGTGGGTCTGCCGTTCCGCGTTTCCGAGCAACAATTGTAACACTGGGCGGGATGGAGATCGCCTTGCGCGCGTTCAGTCGCGGCGACTCGGCTCGAAATGCTGTGCAGTACCTCCTTGAATACGTCCTTGAGTACCTTCTTGTGCATTAGTATATTGTATTTGATAGTTGCTTTGACCGTGCACTTGTTAGTAGACACGTGCATCTGAGGAGATGCAGGTGCATCTGAGGAGATGCAGACGAGCCGCGACCCGAAGGCCCGTAGCCGGTGTAGGCGCGCCGAAGAGCATCAGACGTTGTTAAGTTGTCTAACAGTCTACACATCGCTTCTTCGTGGCGCTGACAGAACGCACGGTGTAGAGACCGAGAGAGCCGGAAGACAACCAGATCAAGCAGACGGTCGTCCATGCGGATGCCAGGTCAAACAGAGTCAACAGGACGAGTGCCAGAACGCGCGCAGACAAATAGCGGCGGCCGAAAGTGAGGACGCGGAGGGGGAGAAAGATGAGGAGATGAGGAGGATCGCGCAAGACGTGCCACATGCGGGCACAAAGTGGGCTCCCGGGGCGATTAGCAAGAGCAAGAGGACATCCAGATCCGGCCAAGAGACGCGGAGCGTTGTTGGCGACGGGCGACAGGGCGTCGATTGGAAGAGTTCTGCGACCGAGCGGGGCGGAGGGAGACCGGCGGTAAGAAGCGCGACGCGTGCTTGGGCTGGTCAGGAGACCGCGTCTGGGGTATGGTGACGGTATGGGCAGCCCTGGATGGTGATGGAGGATGGAAGGATTTTTGCAAGTGCGGATGAGACCGCGCTGTCCGTCGCACGGTGGGCGGAGGGCGGGCGATGGGAGTGACGCACTGGGACAAAGGCCATCATCAGCTGAACGCACGCCCCAGCCGACGCAGCCCAACCTCCTCGGTCTCGTTTCGGACCGCCAGAAGAGGTGAGAGTGTCAGTTGCATGAAGAGGGCCGTTCTGTCGCACGAAGAGAAGAGAAACGACGGAGCACGAGATGCCTGAAGCGGAAGAAGAGAGCGAGGACGGAGGAGGAGGAGAGGCGATCGTGGCCCGAAGAGAGCGAGACGCGTTACGTCACTGGTCACTTGACATCATGCTAGCGCGTAGACGCCCAATATGCGGGGGTGTGTTCCAGAGCAGAGCGAGCGCATCGAATGCTTGTCCCGTTCACCTGCACATGCAATTGCATAGCTACCCACTCTGCCCAGTGCCATCAGCGCGCAAGCTCTGCGTTCTTTGTCCACGCGACGCTCACGGCACCGTCGGCCACCGCGCTCTCTGCGTGCTTGTTCTGCTCCCGGCTCGCGAACCATGCCTCCTCCCCGTGCACATATATAAAACCCCTCCACTTTCCCCACATCCGAGCTTCCTCCGAGCACCCTGAGCCTTCGACCCTCCGAGCTCGTCTCAACCTCGACGCCCGCCATGGTCGTCCTCAGCCCCAGGCTCTCCGCTCTGTGCGCGCTCCTCCTCACCGTCTGCGCCAATGCCCAGTCCGCCTCTACGGTCACCGCCCTATCCAGCTCCGCACCGGCGTCCGTCTCCTCTGCCGTGTCTGCCTCGAGCACCGCGAGCGAGCTTTCGTCCACCGTGAGCAGCGTCTCCGCATCCTCGTTTGCGACGTCCGAGACCTCTGTAGCGAGCATCACTTCCTCCCTCTCTTCGGTCGCGTCTGAGTCGTTCTCGACTCTTAGCAGCTTCTCCTCAGCTGTGTCGGGCTCCACCGCGGCGTCTTCGTCTCTTCCGGCTTCTGCTTCGTCGACCGACATCGCGTCGCTGTCTACGCTGTCATCCGCCGCTAGCGCGTCCACCGGGCCTCCTCTCGAGTCCAGTGAGTATATCGGTTTCGTTCGGGTCGCTCTCGCACGTCCGCATCTTCGCTATGCATCTGAGAATGCGGATACCGCGTTGTTTTCTCTTTCTGTGGCGGTAGACGCGCTCCTAAAAAGATCGAGGTTCTTGACAGGCGCTGTGACAGTTTCTGTTAGCGCCTGTCATGTATTTCGACGCGTTAGGAAGTCCTACCAAACAGGACCGTTTATGTCGCTTTAGATTCAACCAGCGCACATCACAGTGCGGGAATGAAGCTGTTCAGATGCTGCGATGACACAGGAACATTGCGCCCGCAGAGCGCAGATCTTGATGGAAGAATAGCTCTTCCTCCGCTGTTCGACTCTATATCAACCTTTTTGCCACTCTTGGGAAGGTCACTTAAGTGACAGAGCCGTAGCATTTTCTGTCGCCTGAATCCTGAATTCCGTTCTGCGTACATTGCAGCGCGGCACTGAAGCTGCGGGCGACAGAGGGACAGCGCGCCTACATAGCGTAGATCGCGCAGGGAGAGCAGCTCTTCCACCGCTCTCCGACTCGATCTCAGCTCCTTTCTGCCGCTCTTTGATTTGAACGTTGCTGATCAGCATCCTCCCCGCAGCGCAAATCACCCTTCCCATCTCTTCGTACGGGTTCACCTCCTTCCCCGTCCCCTCCGCCTCCCCCATCCCCGGCGTCTTCCCCTCCACCGCGCCCAAGTCCCCCCCTCCCCCCGGCTCCAGCCTCATCCCCGACTTCGGCCCCGCCTGGGCGCGCGCGCACTCCCGCGCGCGCCAGCAGATCTCCGGCTGGTCGCTGGAGCAGAAGGTGAGTGTCGCGACGGGCGTCGGCTGGATGGGCGGCCGCTGTGTGGGGAACATCGCGCCCGTCGCGGACTGGCCGGGCCTCTGCCTCGAGGACTCGCCGCTCGGCGTGCGATTCACCGACTTTGTTACCGCGTTTCCAGCGGGCATTACTACCGCGTCGACGTGGCGCCGCGACCTGTTCCGGGCGCGCGGGCTCGCGATGGGCAGGGAGTTCAAGGGCAAGGGCGTACATGTCGCGTTGGGCCCGATGATGAACATGGGCCGGATCGCACAGGGCGGGCGCAACTGGGAGGGCTTCGGCGCGGACCCGTTTTTGACGGGCGAGGCTGCGTATGAGACTGTCCTCGGTCTGCAGAACGGCGGTGTTCAGGCGTGCGCCAAGCACTACATCAACAAGTCAGTTCGGTCTGGTCATTATCATGTGTCCAGCTGTCGCTGACGATTGGTCGTTCGCAGTGAGCAGGAGCACTTCCGTACTCAAGAATCATCGAACGTCGACGACCGCACGGAACACGAGATTTATCTCCATCCGTTCATGCGTTCGGTTCAGGCGGGCGTCGCGTCCGTCATGTGCAGCTACAGTGCGTGCTCAACATTGTTCTTTCTATCAGTCATGCGGGAGGTCTCACGTTTCTGCAGACTTGGTCAACGATACCTACGCTTGTCAGAACGACCGCACCCTCAACCAGCTGTTGAAGGACGAGATCGGCTTCCAAGGCTACGTCATGTCCGACTGGGGCGCGCACCACTCGACCCTCGCTGCCGTTGCCGGCTTGGACGTGAGTGCACTTTGGGCTTTTGTGACCCGCATCACGCTCACGAAGGTGTAGATGTCGATGCCCGGCGACATCACGTTCAGCTCGCACACCTCGTGGTACGGCGCGAACCTGACCGCGTACGTCGAGAACGGGACGATCGCGGAGAGTCGCGTCGACGACATGGCGGAGCGCATCATTGCGGCCTACTACCTCCTCGAGCAGGACCAAAACTACCCGGAAGTCTCCTTCAACGCCTTCGACATGACCGACCCCGCGACGAACGCGCACGTCGACGTCCAGGCGGACCACTACAAGGTCGTGCGCGAGATCGGCTCCGCCGGCGCGGTCCTACTTAAGAACGTCGCCGGCGCGCTCCCGCTCAAGACCCCGCGCAGCATCGCGGTCATCGGGAACGACTCGGGGCCGTCGACGCGCGGGCCGAACGGGTACTCGGACCGCGGGGGCGACGACGGCACGCTCGCGATGGGCTGGGGCTCGGGCACGACGCAGTTCCCGTACCTCGTCACGCCGCTCGAGGCGATCCAGGCGCGTGCGCAGCAGGACGCACCCGGCACGCAGGTCTCGTGGTGGCTCTCGAACTGGGACACCGCGGGCGCGGCGGCGACCGCGTTCCAGCAGGACGTCGCGCTCGTGTTCGTCAACGCGGACTCGGGCGAGGACTACATCACCGTGGACGGGAACGAGGGCGATAGGAAGA